GAAAGTATGGCGTGATAGGCGGGTAGCGACACTTGATAGAGATTGTGGGGAGATAGGAGGGTGGTCGACTGCTGGTAGATAGAATGGCGCGATAAAACAGTATTAGGTGTCTGCCACCCTCCTATCGCGCCGTACTCTCCTCCGGACGATGGTGGATGCTGGTGAACGCTGGGAGACGCTGGTGCACGCTGGTAGACGCTAGATCGATATCTGTACTTTCCCAGTCGCTGACGCTGCCGGACGCTCGAAACGCTAGTGGACGCTGGGAGACGCTGGTGGACGATGCCGCAAAGTATGAACGCCGCTTAAAAGGGTTGGTAAGGATTGGCAGCGCACTTGTAATTACGCTTAGCCTTCTGAGTGATCATATGGGGATGCAGGGAGCATTCAAAGTATCCATCGAAGTCGGTACTTCACATTGAAATGCATAAAAGTGAGAATTTTTGGTATTCTTACAGAGTTACGTGATCTATTTCACGAGAGATCTTGGACTTTCCAATGAGGATTACAGAGAATGGCAAACGGTTGAAGTTCCGTCGACACAAACCCGGTTAGTTATGCTTCAGGCAACTTCGGAACTTTGTAAGACAAGTTTCACAACACATCATACGATGGCAAAATATGGCCTTTGGGGTCAAATCGGTTCATCGGTAAGGAAAGAAAATCAAAGGAACCACCTGAAAAGCCTCAAATAGGGCCCCTCTTCCACAGTGGGTTTTGGCTACTGGGCAAAACACTTAACACTCAAACGAAGAACGAGATGCTGAAGGACGAGAGAAACCACATGGCTGATTGTGAGCAAGATCGCGTCATCACGCAGCGGCTGCGCATTCAGTTCAGTGGGCGTGGCCTGGATATGACATGAGCCTTTGACGTCCTTACAACTTTCAAGTGGACGACGGCCTACTGTGTTTTAAATTCGGCGAAGAAGTGAAACATATACATAAAGTTACCTTTTCGTTTAGAGTCACAGTTTTACGGTTATATGCTAAAAGACTGACGGGGTTTTGATTATGCTTCATGGGATTACTTTCAGTAGTATTTTAGGTACAAGTTCGGTTATCAGGTCGGTCTCAAGCCAAAAACATTTTATCGTGTACGAGTTAGTGCGAAAAACGATGTCGCAGAAGGTCCAGTCAGCGACACGAAGGAGTTCGAGACAGCTTACTCTGGTCCGTTCCTTCTTTTTTTTCACTCCGTGCTATTCGCTCGTATCTCTCGACAGCAGGATGGTTAGGTAGAATTCTGCCGTTGACAAGTGGGGTGGTCATATTTGGCTCGGTTCAGAGAGGTCTGGATTAGGGCTGTGTTCATACTTTGCGGCAGCGTCCACCAGCGTCTACCAGCGTCCACTAGCTTTCCGAGCGTCTGGCAGCGTCAGCGACTAAGAAAGTATAGATATTGATCTAGCGTCTGCCAGCGTCTACCAGTGAGCAGGGAGTAGGGGAAGAAGGAGGGTAGCAAACAGCTGCAAAATTGCGGCATGTGCAACCGCACGGTTTATTACACCGTATATAACTACACCGTATATTATGTTGCACAGTTCTGTACTTGAGCATTTCTGCGGTGCGGCTGCACACACCAATTTTAAGACGCCTAATATAGCTGTTTGCTATCATCGTATTTCCCCAAACGCTTCTCTCCTGGTGGACGCTGACGTACTCTGGTAGACGCTGGCAGACACTATTCTGCACCTATACTTCCCTAACCCTCGACACGCTGGCAGACCTTGGCGGACGCTAGATCGATATCTGTACTTTCCTAGTCTCTGACTCTGCCGGTTCTCGAACGCTGGTGAACGCTGGTGGAACGCTGGCGCAAAGTATGAACGTAGCCTAACAGATATTTCGTCTCATCTGTTCCAAATGTTTTATATCAAATGTTTTTCTACAGAACTACCTATTCCGACGGACATCAAAACAAAGGTGGCAGAAGACAATTCCCTTACCATCACTTTCACAGCAGTAAGAGATCCCGACGACCACTCGAATATCATACAGGTAACTCGGACTTCATTTGTGACACTTCCTTGCAGCTACAGTCTCATTTTGTCTTTATTGGGTGCGTGATCGCAAACAAGCTCGTTAAGGCTGCGATCATACTTTGCGGCAGCGTCCACCAGCGGCCAACAGCATTCCGAGCGTCCGGCAGCGTCAGCAACTAGGAAAGTATAGATATCAATCTGACGTCCTCAGCGTCTACCAGCGTCCACCAGCGTCTCGAGGGTTAGGGAAGCATAGGTATCAATCTGTCGTCTGCCAACGTCTGCCAGCGTGCACCAACGTCCTGGAGAGGAGAATATGGCGCGATAGGAAGGTAGCAGACAACTGGTACCTTCCTAT